ACCGGTGTTCCTGAAAGAATGTACTCGAAGACGGGTGGGGGGAGACATCTGCGAACGCGGCATTAGAGATCTTGCCTCGAATAACGCGCAATCCTCTCAGCCGACCAAACCGTCCTCCAAGGCGCAGCGTACACTCGTACCAAATTTCGGCTGGGGTGCAGTTGCGCACGTTGAAGAGATCTGTGTCGCCCGGTTCACGGTGCGATGGAGCAGGACGAACGAGCAACCGTCGAACATGCATTTATGTTGTAAGATGAAAGCCAGCACCTGCGCGGCTTTCACGCGACGCTACTGGCCCCATGCACCCCTAACTAAATTTGGGTAGCATACGCATTTCATCTCTTATGTGGACAAATCCCGTCCGATTTGCGTGCGTTTCGATACCCGTTGCCAACGTCAGATAGGATCGCGACAGGCAACCGACAGATGCGCTATTATAGTTTGTACTTCGACCGTTACCGGCTAACCTCTTCATTGGAGCTCCCCGTGCACAATCAGGCGCATACAAATAGACGCCATCCCCCTTAGGTGTTTGATCCAACGTTTCTTTGACACTTTGCAGGGATTCAATCAAGACGGGAGCCTAAACTCGAAAGCGTCAACTACGCTCCTGCTCACCTGGTGACCGAGGGAAGAAACAGCCCTGTATGATCCGGGACCCGGCACCCCGGGGTCACGAGCGCTTCTAGAACGAGTGCTTTGGCCGAACGAGCTCGAAACAGAGTTGCACAGGGTTGAGTCGACCTGGATAGCGCAGGCAATGTATTCAATTTGTTCATGTGTCCAATGGAACACGGGGTCGAGGGATGGATTGCATGAGCATTTCTTCGGAGTTTATAGCGGTTGGAGCTTGTTCCAGACACTTCTTTCGCGAGTAGGAGCAGGGAGATCCGAGAGATATTTCAGTTTGTTCTGTCGGCCAAGGTTCAATATTGCTAGTCACCGACGAGGAAAGGTCTTTCACGCCAGTAGGCTCTTCGAGGATGTCAAGAGAGAGAAACGTGATCCAAACCGAACCCTCAGCTGTCTTGATGTCCCTTTGATGACAATATTTGCAAGTAAATAGGCGACACGTGTTTCGGGCAGCCGTGTCATCTAGCTCAACCTTGTCATTCAGGTGGGAAGCCACGGGTACATCACGCGCAGACGAGCGGTCAAATTCGTTCTCCCGATATGAAGAGGAAGTCGTGCGTAGACGCAAGTGGCCGACATTCGTCAACTGCGACGAATGAATCCTCGATCTCAAGTACCTGATTTCCCATTGAGCCGGGAACGTTACGATACGCCCCTGGTCCCGGGTTTGCGATGTTACAACGCGATGCATAGCCCTTGAACCCTGGGGCGAGAGCCTGGCCTGCCTGCTCTCGTGTCCCCGTCCCAAAGGTGGTCACTGGCCGTGCGGCTGACGACAGGTGCCACGATACCTATATGGGCAGGACAAGTAAGTGTCGCCGAAACAATAGAGTGGTGAAGTGGCTGAGTAAAGACTAACCCCGTTTGTTTATTTGATTCCAGGGTGAGTCAGCATGAGCAACATGGGGCCCACAACACGTGTGTATTACACTGGTTGACTATCTATTGCGGGGGCCAGTCCACCTTCTTTCGCCGTTGCGCGATCGATCTTTTAACAAATGGGTCCTCCGGTTGCACATCTTTTCTTCCCTCGAGTTCGGACCCTTACAGCAGTAAGACATCATCGTCCTTACCGAACAATCATCGAAAAGAAACTGCGATTTGTTTTAGCCCCGGCAAAGTTGTAGGAAAAGCAACTGCCCCCCCCTGTCTTAGAGCTCTTCACGGGGTTACTCTTCCGAATCTTCTTCGATATATTTTGGCTGCACGACGCGTCGCCAGCCAAAGACTGCGTGTGGCATCTACGTTAAACACTATCAATGAGTGCATCATGCGTGTTCTAGAATGGCAAGCAGCTTGACTTGCTGCACAACATCGCCAATTGTTTTCGGACTTCCACCCAGAGGAAAATCCCGTACCGGGGTGACTACACACGTTCATTTTCCCCTCTTCGTTCTTGACTTTTCCCCTCGGGAGGTTTGCTGAAAAAACGATGTCACTCCAGGCGCGAAGTAAAAGCAGAAGTCGGCATCTCTCTCGTCGAAAACGCGAGCACCATGGGGTACAGATCTGAAGGCATGAGTGAATGTGACAAAAATTTCTGACGGCACGCCAACGCTTGTTGAGCTTGTAATTCTCTCTCACCCGACTGTCCCCCGCTGAAAGAGACGAGTTTGACCTCTTGTTGTTCGATTGTTTCTCTCTCGACCCATTCGCACGTCTGGTTCGGATGTACACGGGCATACAGTTAAAAGGTCCGAACGATGACCAAACCGATGTTTTATAGGTGGGCGGAGTCGATCGATCCCAAATCATCCAAGAGCGTACGTGCCGCCCTAGAATGACTTTCCTTCGTGTAACGTAGTCCTGGGTCAATGATTCTTTCGACGAAGACGGGAGGAAGTGTGCCACAAGGGTCGCACTATATAGTACATCCTATCGCACTGTTTTTGTCCTCGTTTATTCGTTTGCATCCAACTTCCCGTCCGTATGGTATCTCATGAACATCGCAAGCTGCCTAGCTATGCCGACGTACACTACAGTACTGCCTGTGCCTTGGTACCAACCGAGACATTGCCGAAGCCCGAGGATTGCTTCTGGATGGTGTTGATCGGGGGGGTGTCGAGCCCAGTGAGGGCAGCTGCCAGCTGTCCTGTCCCTAAGTGTCGGTGAGCGAGAACCAAGCAACAGCCGATGAAAGCTTGGTGACTAGCGTTGGGTGTTGGGGGTGGGGGGGGGGTTAGTTCACTCTGAACCTGCTGTACAGCAAGCAACCCTGGACTTGCCGAGATTTCGAAACTGACACACGAGAAGCGCGACAACTCTCAACAAAAAAACTTGACGCTTGTTTTTTCTTCTGTTTTTTGTTTTTTTCTCCTGATAGAATCGTAGGGGCTACTGCTCTATTCGAACCTTGAAGACTCACTTTCAATACACCTGATGCACTGATGCCTTTCTACGACAAGGCGGATGTCTTCGAAGCAACGTCACCTTGCGCGACAAGAGGGAAGGTGTTCTTCTACTTAAGGCACATGACGTTTTTCACGTGTTGTCTGACGTTCAACGCGGTGTTGGATTACCTGGCTATCGACAAACCGGAACGGGGAGAGACTGAAGTAGCTACCTCCGCAGGAACTGTTAACCCCTTCAGCCTCGATCTCCCGCCGATGGTCCTGAGAGCGTCTATCGTCAGTCGATCCCGGAAAAACCTTGTACCGTAGTAGCGTGGTAGGGCTCCGGGTGTCAGAGGTAGGAGGCCATAGCGGGAAGATAGATCACCGATCTTGTTTAACCATCCGAAGTTACTCTACCTCATTGAAGATCCTAAAGTTGGCACGACTCGGTGTCTCTAGACACCTTGTGATTGAACTCTGAGTTCAGTGTATCAATACAGGTTCTGACCTATTGGAAACGTGACAAAGGTTGATAACCGCATGCGGAAAGAATGAGAGCTTGGTTCAACACGCTCTGCACAGCTACCGTTGAAGTGTGCATCGGTGTCGACGACTCCTCCTAACCGTGCTCATGTATCCAACGAGAACACCCACTTACGAATCCCCTGGTACTCGCTCGCCCAGGCTCCGATACCGATGCCGACGCCGCTGCTGAGTAGCACCCATTCCGACCCGAACCCTGCGTCGGCAAAACTCTACACAATCCATTGGTTGTGTTTTCTTCGTACGCGCCTGGGCCTGGTGTATCTGATCGATACGCTGCGCCAAGAGGGCCGGTCTGAACCCGGTCGACGTTGGCTAGGGGTCCACCAATGGTTATACCCGGTTCGCGCGTGGGAAACTGAAAAACAGGACGATGCCATCTAAGTTCGTAGGTGCCGGGACCAGGAGTATTTCTTTTCACGTACGCCACGGCATCCTTCCCTAAGAACAGCTTGCTGAGGTCGTCGCGGTTGGCTCTCCCGAAAACTACCATGTGTGGCCGCTCGCATAGATCCCTTGCCTGCAAACGCGAGGGGATGCGCTCATGATAAGCGATTTGACTATGTATGATGCATCCCAAACAACATAACAAGTAGAAGCACAGCTTGAGGAAACTTACCCAGTGACAAGGTGGCGCACCTGTTCTGTCCCACGCTACGACGGTGCAGTCCCGTGGACCTCGTTAGAAACAACCAGGGACAGCAGCAGCACATCACGTACTACGTGTACTGCTGTACATGTACGATAGGTGGTACCCTTTTCGGGCTCTATCGGCAGTCACGTAGTGCCCACATAGCACATTGTCACCTGTTCTTCAGCCTCGACAGCATAGGAACATGGGCCCGGCACAAATCCCTTATCTTCTGCAACTTTCAACGGTCCTGTTTTCTCTCGGTCCACCCTGTTGAGGGAACCGCCAAAAGCGACGGTCGGCGCACTCTTCAAACATTGGCGGCTGGCATTGCGAACATCGTACGCTCCAGGCCCCTGTTCAAAGGGAGAAAAAAATCAACAGCAGCATCACATGTGCAGCAAGCATCCGCACACTTATCAGAGGTTGGCAGCAGTCTCAACACAGCAGACACCGCCGTTGTTGACAGACCTAGCGCGGACATATCGATTTATGTCCACGAATACTTGTATGTGACTGGGATCTCTCCTTTTTTTTATTTTTCTTGATGTTCTCCCCTGTATTATTGTAGTCTACAGCAGTGGGATCTCACCGCTCACCGGTGTTCGGTAGCGGTTCCTATTCTCAACACCCATATTATGAACGAACCGCCGCACAGTAGTCCAAGAGAAGCCGCCAAATGCCTTTTGGAGAGAGGGGAGTGGAGAAGGGAGTGGAGAATTAAGGAATAATAAATACGGGAGAGCGGAGAAAATCGAGGTTTTTTGAATCCCAACCGGCACAAATCCTGCCGCCTTTTCTGTCCGTATTGGTCGCTTCTTGACAAATGGACATACACACCTCCACCAGTGTGGTCCAAAATGGCGAAGGATGGCGCGAAGGTCGTGGATGAAGTCTCTCGGCAGGTGAGATGTATGGGTATCACTGATTTGCTGGTATTCTTCTACTGTATGTGACAAGCACAGCGTGTCTACAACTTCAACGGTCCTACAGCGCGCGAAAAGACAGCTCCTCATGTACGTACCTTTGATCACCCCGTGCCGATCATCGTAAGCACCTAAAACACACGCTGCTATGCGGAAGAGAGCACACGGTATGGCGTGATGAAGCCCTCGCTCTACGGGATGCCTCGAAAATCTTCTTGTGAGTACCAGTGTACTACTGTACTGCTGTAGTAGTACTGCTGTCGTGAAGAGTCTTCCAGTTGCACCATGATGGCAAAATCTACGGCGTACAACAGAACCCTATGGAATGCCGTGATATGCCACGGCACGAGAAACTACTGTTTGACACACTTGCTTTTGACACCCGTGTGTTAATCCGCATGTGGTGCGTGTGGTGAACTCACTCTGTTTGGTAGTAGCGAATTTCTGTCAACGCGGAAACAAGCATGCATGCTCTTCTTCCTGCTTGCTGGTAACTCTTGACGGCGCAGTCAGTAGATACTTTACGCCCCCGTACTTAATCGCATTGATAGATCCGTAGGCAACACATTTGCAACCTCGTCATTTTGAACATCCCGCAAACACCGCTGGGGTGTTCACACCTTCTTCAGGGTTCTTAGTCTTCTTGGTTCAGAAAATCACTACGCCAAGACTCCCGCCACTCAACAACATACTCGATGTACTCCAGATCTTGGACCACAAAGCGAAGGAGAACGACTCTGTTTCCGAAACCTTTCATCCTCGAACAAGACATCTTGAGCTCGTGGAGCCAGCGGGTTCCTCTTCTCTCCAGTGTACTGATGAAAACAGGAGACATACGTCCATTAGTTGTACGGCGTGCCGGACACAGAGCCCCAATAGGGAATCGGTTACGCGGCAGCGGCATCCAGAAGCTCCGACGTTTCGCCCCAGAACCGAGGAGTGATCGCTGCTTGACCGTACTTACATCAACAGACCTTTGATCTGTAGGTTGTTTTGCGCTTGAATTTCCCTTCCGGCAGGCGATGTGGGCGGAGGTGATCAAGAAAGAGAACGCCACAATCGGTGTGCCCCACCGGTTCTTCCTCAACCCCAACAAGTTGGTATTCATCGCTAGGAAGCCTACGGAGGTTGATCCGAGGACGTACGAGGCGGACTCTTTGTCGACAGGGCATCAAGTAAGGACGTGTATGCCCTATCCCATTTAATGTGAAAGGTACAGGAAATTGCAACCGCCTATTCCAAGCATGAAGGTGTGCATTCCTTTAGAACCACATATCACGCACGCAACAAGAGGACGGCACATGAACGTCTTTGTGCTCAACGCGTGAAAAACCGCAACAAGGATCATGAACGTGTGGGTTGATGCGTTGTCCTATGTGTTCTTCTGACAGCTTGTCCTTGTGAGGAAGATATTGGTCTTGCTAAAAGTACTAAATACATGTAATCCCAAGCCATTATCCGACGTTTTTGCCAGGGCTCCCTTGAGTCGCCTTCGTGCATCAGAGAGGCAGAGGAGGGCGATAACAGAGACGAAGCCACCCTTGACGCGAGTAGTGCTAAACTATGGAAAACGGAATCCCAGCGATGGGGCAGCTTTTACGCTAAGAAGAGACCACCGGGGGTGGATCCCTATAGCTCGCAGCGAAGCTGCTGGAGGAAACCACGTTCAAAATGCGACGTCACAGAATATGGAGACAGGTTGGTTAGCGGAACATAGCCGACAAAGTTTCGCGCTGGTGCACTTCTGAAATACTGCCGCCCAATACGTCCGTCCTTGTTGTACAAATCAAATGACGACTCTCGAGAGAATTGGCAGGAGTTGCTAACATCCCACCCAAACGTTCATGGATGCGCGTGAAACGCTCAATACCTCCGTTTGGCCTGTCTCGCTTGATTTACGCCGGCAGGTACTGCGAGATGACGGGGGTCAGCCCCTACGCTAAAAAGAACTTGGACTCTGCGACCAAACCCTGAAAAAACCCGCCGTGTGAGTAGGCTGGCGGGTGTGTAGGTTTCCTCTTTTCGCGCGGGGCCAATCCAACAGTACGGTTCATCAAGGGCGCGGGGGAAAGTATACCGGTCCACCACTCTAAAACATTGTAACATTAGACTATGATGATGCACGCCTTCTCTTCGGGGCATTGTTCGTTTCGACGTTCTCTTGGTACGGCTACAACATAAGCATGGTGTCCGATGGCCTAGACGTATCTAGCTGTGCAGTCATGGCCCAGCATTCACCCGGGAAACGGCCGATGGGCACAAGAAGAGTAGTTTCGAGTTTGAACGAACAAGATTCACGTGGGGTACCAAAAAAAGGGGCGATTCATTGGCGCAGCGGGCGAGAGTTTGTGTCACGAACGAAATACGGCGAACGTTGAACAGGCAATCATTCAGGGAGGTGGCGGAGGGGGGGGGAGGGGGCAGCGCCTGGACCGCCAAACAATTTGCATCACCAAGAAGTATGATGGTCCTGACAAGAAGGTCGTTCAAACTACCGTGTAGAAGGTCTCTCTGGAGAAAAAAACACCTATCAGCCAGTATACAATGCGTTAGCTGCCATGGAAGGTACGCTCGATCTCCACGGACGAAGCTGAACTTATTTGTCCAATAGTGGGAGGTCGTTGTAGGCCTGGCACCGTTAAGTTCGTTTTTTCGCGCAGATCGGTTGGTCTGACCGACGCGTAGGCTGGCCGCCGCTATTTTGGAAACGACAAGCACGTCCCGTTGTTCGACGAGAACAGGGTGTAATTCGAGCACACCTATGCACACGTAGTTTGTTTGCCGATATTGATATACGGATACAGCAATCAAAAGTTTGTCGGAATTGCCCTCTTGGTGTGAGGGGTGGGTCGCGTAATGCACAAGTATAGTAATTTCTTGGTGTGCCAACCTTAAGACCGTGGAATCGGCCAGTGTGAATGACGTGGACAAGGAGAGAGCCAATACGCTGGTCGGTCGCGGGGGAGGTGGAAGGCAAGAAGTGGTTTGAGCCGGTACTTGTCGCGGATGATCTACTTGGACTCCTGCTTCTCGCCGCAGAACACCGATCCTTGCTTGTAGCGCACCGTTTTCTTGGTTGAACGACTGCTCGTTTCGAAAGCGGCAACCAGTAAAAGCCTACAATCAAGCAACCTGCGCAGAAAATAGCATGCATGGGTAGGTCTCTAGTCTACGGAGTGGGTTGCGGAGAACGAAGAAGTTAAATTTTTTATGCTGCAACTATATCTTCGTAGGAAACCAATTCCGCAGAGGTGTTTCCACGGTTTCCACGAACAAGAGACCTGGAACCTTCTGGGACGACTGACTAGATGTAAAAGACTAAGACTTGCGAGCGAGAACGGGATGATATAGATGCATCGTGCCGAGAGCGGGATGCAGCGAACGGGAAAGAAAAGAATGTCGTCTACAGGTCTTAGTGAAAGAACAAAGAAATGACGATACGATTACCCTACGCAAGAAGACCTATATAGCCTATCACCTAATTACGTACCACGCGGTTTAATGGGTGGGTTCTGTGTTCTGTGCGTGCCCCGCACGTTGCTTTCCTCTTGTTCCGTTGTGATTGGATACATGGATGTATGTAATTCTTGTAAAATCTATGCTGGTGCTATACAATAAACAAACGAGCACGATGAACTGAATCGAACTTGTACTCACGTCCGACTACTACAACAACAGAACACAAGTAGACGGGATTCATTCCTGCTCTACTGCTGTAACCGACGACCTACTGCTGCTTCTGCTGTGTGTGGTGGTGGTGGGGTGCCAGTGAAAAATGACGCAGAGAGTACACAACAACAACGAACGGCATTCATCACTCCTTGTGCCGGCGCACACTCGTTCACTCGCCAAGACACACACGACTGACTGCTGTTTGTATTGAAGAAAAATAAATTGCGACGAGACAGCCCTCCCCAGTCTCGTACGTATTTATTTACTACATTATGACATACATGAGATACATCTACTCTGTAAACTCAAAATGCACTAGCCCAGTGCAGATGATCCTATACTGCTGATTTTTTGGCGTTTTTTCAACCAAAAAACACTGCAGCCAGTGTAATTACAGTAGTAGTCTGCCGGTATGTTGATGTACGTACACCTCTGCGCATGCATTCCATACTGACCGCGGTATGTATGTATGTATGTATGTATGTATGTATGTATGTATGTATGTAGATGCGCATCCACATACTGTGACGGTCGCTTCGTAGCCTGTGCTCAATCAAACGTTGAGAGGCTGAGCCTTGCTATGTATATTAGATGCATACAAAAAAGTTTATGTTGTTTGTGAGCGGGCCGGACGGGATGCCTCCATCCATCCTGTGCATATCTATCTTCTTCCCAGTGATGGATATTGGTCCGGAAGAAGGGTTCGATACAATACGCCCACCGTATCGAGAAAAAAACGCAAAAAATAAATACCGATATTTTGTTCGATATTCTGAAAATGGCTCGTATCGAGTATCATTACTCGATATCGACACGGACGGCTGTTTTGAAGGCCTCAGGTTACAAGAAGAGCGAGCGTTACGCAACGACACGTACCCTGGCACACCCAAACCCTATCGGAAGTATTCAGCAGTGCGCAAGACGTGGGCGCATGGCCCGGCGGTATGGAAGTTTGAAGTAGTAATTATTGTATGCAGTGGTGTGTGCCAGGTGTGTGTGTGCAATTGGACATGACGAGCACAACAGGGGGCACACGCTGTGGTGTGATGTTGCGTATATATATAGAAAACTGCATCGTACGAGAGGCAGGCAGGGTGGTTGTGTAGCTGTGTCGACCCGATATATATATATTACTTCATTTTACAGCCAGTCAGTGTGCATGTGTGTATACTCTACTGTTGCGATCGAATCAGTGCAAGCTCGGCTGTGCCCCCCCTGCGAACAGGATTTCATGACAAAAAAACGCGGAAAAAAAAACTCGAACATTGCTTTCATATTATCTTACACTACCAAGTATATTATGTTGGGGCTGGACTTCAAAAACTGCATGCAGCAGCATGCAAAATTCCACCCGCGAATTGTTGGGTGCCCAACAACGCACCTTGAGCGAGTATCAACTCTAGACACCCAACAGACAACAAGAGGAAACAAAAAGAAAAAACCTTGCGAAAAAAGGATGTATGAAGGAAAAGGAAATGGTGCGCAGGCGCTGTTGTTGTGTGGTGTGTGGCTGGTGGCTGGTGTGTGTGTGATTGTGATGGCTGTGGGGGGCGACAGGAGTAGGCGCCGCTAGGCCCCATTCTGCTCGGACGTCAAAAAGCATAAAGGCGTACTGAAATTTCGGGGGAAAGCCGCACAATTGGCCAGAAAAGGAGCATATTTGGCAGTATTGGGCATATTATTATTTATTATGGGGCATAATAATCGGCCCGGAAAAAGAGTATAATTCGAGGAAATCCTTTTTATTTTAAGAAAATAGCATATTATTTCAGAATGCTTTTAAAAGAAAATAGCACATTCTTTCAGAAAAATAAGCAGAATGGGGCAAGCCCTAGGCGCCGCAGCGAAAAAAGGGGGTCGACAGCTGGGAAACCGACCCCTCCCCAGTAAAAAAAGGCAATGCATATTGATTGGCGGGATAGAAGCCGAAATCAAACCATTGGAAGAAGACTAGTCAGCGCTGACTAGTCTATCTAATGGTTTGATTTCGGCTTCTATTGGCCCGCTTGGTCTTGTGTTGTTTAGTGTTGTTCTGTTTGTTTGTTTGTTGCTTGTCGCTATGGAGTGTGTCTTTCTCTGTCTATTTCTTTCTCTCTCCCTTTGCTTCTCTCCATCTGCTCAATTCCTTTCTTTCTTTCTCTTATTATTTTTCTTTTTCTTTTCGCTTTCTCGTTCTTTTTCTTTTTTCTTTTTACTTTTTCTATCTTTTTCCAATCTAGGGTTACCTCGCATAGAGTGCAAAGAGGCGAGCGGAGTGGCCTCGACTATCTGTCGTTGACTTTTATTGGCTTGCAGAACCTTCGGGTCCATCTTGTTTCTGTATACCTTTTTTGGGTAAGTTAGCCTTGTTGTTGATGTTGTTGTTGTCTTCACAATAAAAACCGTTCCGATCTCTTTCTACCCAGTACCTTCGTATGTCCGTACTGATCCAACACTCGACGCGGTCGATTCCCGTGGTCACAGGTTAGCTTACCCTAGAAAGGTACACTCAAATAAACTGGCCCCGAGGGGTCCGCAAGTCAATAGAAATCAACGACAGATATTCTGGAGTCCTCCACTCCCTCTGCGCGCTATGCGAGGTATCAACTGAGACTAGGAGTCACTATCACGGGCCGGAGAGAAAGAGGTACACTCCCTTGGTTCAATCTTGGTACTTCACAACGCAAGCAGAGACAAGGCCATCTGGCACAGAAAAAGAGAGAAAAAAAAGAGAGCAAAAGAGAGAACAGAGAAAAAGGGAGAAAAAATAAAAAGGAAACGGTAAGGAAAGAGAAAATAAAATGAAAAATAAAGATGAAAAAGAGCGAGGGCAAAAAGGGACCAGGCCGAAAATAACAAGAAATAAGAGGCAGAAAAAGGCACACGGTGGAGGGACCACTAACGAACGAGCAAACACGCAAATATGGCCACCAACCAGCGATACATTGTAATGGTACGTCATCACTAGTGGGGGATTGGTGCAATGGCGCAGCGTTGGGGGGGGGAATTGGCTAACAGAAATTCAATCCGGCACGTATCGCGCCACTCGGTCCGTCTCTTCTCGTTTGCTTTCTTCCCTCGCCGTCTCGTCCGTCTCCTGCCCCCCTCCCGCCCCATTGGTTGTTGGCTTGTGGTTTCGTTTGAGCGCTCGTTGTCGGCTGGCCTCTTCTTCCTTCTCGTGCCAGGAGGTCATGAACCTCTCAGCTCCCTGCAGCACCGCCGCATGCCAGGGTACTCCCCCCTCCACCTTCGCGGCTTCCGTCCACTTTAACTTCGGTGCCGTGTCTTTCGGTACCGGGATTCCGAGACAACATGGATCGGTTTTCGTAGATCCGTGGTCGGCCCCGAATGCCTTCAGGTCGTCGAGCACACACTTCGGCCAGTTCTGTTCCTGTCCCCCCCTACGTGGCTTCTCCCCCCCCGCCAGTTCGCCGAGCATCAGTCGTTTCGGGAGTCGCCCGTCCGGCTGCCTTGCCAGTGCTCCCGCGAACAGTAGGCGTCGTTGTCGGATCGCGGCTTCAACGCTCTGGCATTCGACCCTTTTCAGCGTCTGGGCGTAAGAGAGCTGCCGGTAGGTGTCTTTCTTGCGCGTGTACCCGATAACTCGAAGGAGCAGTCGGTGGTGTATCGACCGCAGCGTCTGATAGTGGCCGCTGAGTGGTGACCATGTCATGCAGCCGTACAGCAGTGCCTCCATCGCCTCCGCCTGGAGCAGGCGGATCTTGAGTCGGAATGGCGCTTTCCGTCTGTCAAAGAGCTCCCGGCCATATCGCCTGAGGCACGCCCACGCTGCTCTGCTCCTGTAGTTGATCTCCCAGGTGAGGTCGCCATGTTCGTTGACGAGGCCACCGAGGTACCGGAACTCGGTCGTCTGGGCGTATTTCTGTCCCGCGGCTTCGATGGTCAGCGGTGGCGGCGGGGGGGGCTGTGATGTTGTAGTCGGCTTGTCCTTCGCGCGCATCAGGAGCGTCTCCGTCTTCTTCTCCGACACCGTTAGCCCGAACTCCCCGAACACCTCAACGATGATGGTCATCATTCTCGCCAGTCCTTCTGCAGACCTCGATACGACGCCGGCATCATCGGCATACAGCATCCCCCATACTGCCCTCCGTACTCGGTCACGGGGTGTCTCCTCCCCCCCCCCCCGCTTCCGTCTTCCCCTCCTCCAAGCACACCAGGTTCCGCAGAACAACATCATCCTCGCTGAATCGGATGACGACGACCTCGAGGACCTCGGCGAAGAAGATGTTGAACAGCAGCGGGGATAGCACACATCCTTGTCGCACGCCCTGTGTGACGAAGAACCACTCTGATAGTTCTCCGTCGTCCATGCGCACCCGGGCCCGCATTCCATCGTGGAATTGGCGGATGACTTTGATCAGCTTCGCGGGAATCCCGGCCCTGGCCAGCACCTTCCATAGCATCTCTCGGTCCACCGAATCATACGGCTTCTTCAAGTCGACGAAGCACATGCAGAGCGGTATTTTCTTTCTCCGCCCCAGCTCCTGGAGGCGGCGCATGACGAACAGCATGTCGACGGTGGATCGCCCGGGTCGAAATCCGCACTGTTCCTCCGGGAGGATGTTGTTGGCTTCGCAGAAGGCGCTTAGACGGTTGGTGATGATCTTGATGGGGACCTTGCCTACGTGAGATTGTAGCGAGATCCCCCTGTAGTTGTTACAGTTCTTGTACAGCACCTTGATGGTTGCATCCTTCCACTCTTGCGGGATATCTCCTCCGTTCCACACCTTGACGAGGATGGTATGGAGGTGTCCCAGGACAAAGGGTTCGTCTCATCGATCTTGAGCAACCCGGCAGGGAGGGAGTCATGGCCGGGTGCCTTCCAGTTCTTGAGGCCTTTCGCTGCCCGTGCCACCTCCTCGAGTTCTGGTACCTCTCCCAACCGTTGAGTGTCACGTGTCGCTGGCCGCTGCGTCACTCGTTCGATGATGTCTGGGTTCAGGGTGGGGGATTTGGTGTTGAGTAGGGTGCTGAAGAATCTCGCCCACCGCTGGAGGATGTCGTCCCTCTTCCGGAGCAACATGTCGTTCTCATCCGCGACGAACTGTTGTCCCCCCGCTTGTCTCCCGCTGAGGCCCACTGAGATCTTAAGGTGTTGGTACAGTCCTCTCATGTCGCGATCTTTGTAGATTGCTTCGAGTTCAGTCACATATCCGTCCAGGTGGGCATAAATACCCGTTTCGACTGCTGTAGCCACTCCCTTACACGCTGCTTTGAGAGCTCTCCACGTTGCTGAGTTCCAGTTGCCCCTCATCGCCCGGCGCGCTTCCCGCCGTTTGGTAAGGGCCTGCTCCAGCGCTGCTCTCGTCTCTGGGGTCTCACACCATTCCTGCGTGAGGCGTCTCCGCGGTTCCTCCCCTAGGGTCGTCCGCGCTGCTTCGAGGAGAGCATTGGTAAAGTCGGTCGCCAATTCCGCGGCGGTGCTTGTTCGCTCGTCCAGTCGTGTGTCGAGGTTGAGGAGGAACCGATTAGTCGCCGCACACCGTGCTACTTCGAACTGCAATTCCCGTCGGTTGAATTGCTGCTGTTTCAATTTAGTCCGGACTGCACGGTTGTGGGCAAGCCTGTCACCGAGGTTGACGGTGGCTACTACCATATTGTGGTCTGAGTCTGCTTTGACTGGGCGAACCGGCTGGGGGATGACAACCACGTTAGATACTCGGCCGTGATGTGCCTGCCTTGTCAGGATGTAGTCAAGGCGCTTGCGATCGTTTCCCGACACACCGTTGTATGTGTGCCATATTCCGCCTTTGCGTGTCTCGAAGAACGTGTTCGTGAGAGCTAGCCTGTTTTCCGTTGCGAAATTCAAAAGTAGCATGCCATTGTCGTTGAGCTCATCACGCCCGTACATTCCTATTACCCTTCCGTCCCCTCCGTCCAACCTATCTCCCGTCCGCGCGTTGGCGTCCATCAGGACATACACACATTCTTTGGAAGGGATCCTCCGCACGAGACTGTGAAGTTTTCCCAGAACCCGCGCTTGCTGTCGGCGGTTGAAGGTTCGGTTGGAGCATACGCGGCTTTGACCGCTCCACGGTGGCCTGCCAACAGAAACCTCATGGCCATAAGGCGTTCGTCGATAAACTCCGTAGTGAACGTGGATGTCTTGCACAGTGACTCTTTGACGGCTATCCCCACACCATGGACTCCACCAGTCTCCGTGCCACAGCAGAACACCCGGAAACCCGCTGCTGCAAATTCCGTTCGACCTGCCCTCCGTGTCTCCACCGATACGTCTTGGCATCTTGGTAATGATGTGTATGTAGTCTAGAGGTGTTCCGCGGTCGGTAGGAAGTGTCTACATCAAGCCCACAACGCCCTTCGGTCGGGTGTCGGGACGATGAATCAGGTCTGCGTACTTCATCAGCAGCAGCACTCTCTGTCGTCGTTGGAGCGAAGTTTCCTTGCTTGGCGGTGGGGGTATCGGAGCAGGGGAAATGGAATCCGGAGTAGTAGGAAATAGTATGCATAAATGGGATGACTTGCTGTGGGACTTCGAACTTGTTTTCTTTCCTCACACCAGTTAGTTGATGTGCATATCCGACAAGAAAGGAACATCTAGACTAGTACCACTTATCTGCCTTCTATTCCGTCGGGTACCACCCCTCGCGGTTTGGACGCCGCAGCGATGAATTCGTGTGGTACTGGCGAAAATATGAAAATATGCCTACTGGCTGTATCCACCATTCGCAGATCCACAGGTAGGTGCGCATGCAGTCGATGCGACTGTATTGATTGGCCGGTGACACATCATCTATCTTTATTTGTTCGGATAGGCAAGGGAAATCGAAAATCGTATATATCTAGAGAGAAAGGCAGGTGCCCAGAACACGGGGCACGACATCCTCTCACTTGGTCTATACGTCAGGGACGGTCTCGTGATATGTAGTTCCGGCGGCCCCTCAACGGTACCGTCCGTGCATGCATAAAATATGCATACCAAAATACCAAAAGGTTGCATCCGGTACCAACCCCGCCCCCCCCCCCCCCCCACGGCATTTTTTTTTCCTCAAAGAATCCCTTTCTCTCCCTCTCTCTCTCTCTCTCTCTCTCTCTCTCTTTCGCCTCTTTCCTTCCTTTGGTCGTTTTAGCACCAACCTTGCATCTTGCAACAACACACACCAGCTTTGGAAGAGCTCAAACCCGTGGTCTGCACGCTCGCCTGGTAACGTTCGAAGGTGGTGGGCATTCGTCCCCCCAACCATCTCTATTCGGTAGGGTCGAGCCCTCACGCGCGGGCGGCGCGCTTTGTCTGTACGCGCTACAGCACCGGCCCGCCCGTGAGAGACGGCGGGAGTGGCGGAAACACCTTTTTTGGTTGAGTGTTTTCGTGTCGTTGTTGAGTGTGCCGTTCCACAAAGGGCCGTGCCGGGCAGAATCATGGTTAGCAGGCGTTCCTCCACGTCCCCAAACTGACGCAACCCCAACATTTCCGTTCCTGATCGCCGCTACGCCCCGAAGCTCGATTGACCTCGTGGACGCGGCATCAAGCGGTTCTGTTACAGCGACACGCGGTGGGGCGGCGGAGTTGACAGACGAGGAGGGAGAAGTTGGCCCGGCAATCGGCATGGGATGGGACGTCGAGGTGAGAGAGGTAGACCCAGGATGGTTATCGCTCTGTCACAACACGCGCCACGCGGGGGGGAGATTCCGTGCGTCCAACGAAGGGATCGGGTCGTTGTGACGTGCGACAGCTGGCGAGAGAAAGGGTTAGTTATGTGGGAAATCAAGTCTATGATGCCCGCGTGATTGAGGTGTGTGATGAGTTGGCACAACGCACGAGAGACGGCATGGGTCACCCTGGCGGTGATATATTCTAGCTGTGAAACAGGCAAACCAGGTAGGTGATGAGAGCGACGAGAGAGGTAAGTGAACAATGCGGTGGTCCCTGTTTTCCGCAACCCTCGCGGAATGGGTTCGACAGCAACAACAGGAGGGCCCTCCATGCTTCTCCACCATGACAGCAATAGTGCCGAGGCGGTCACCCCTTCTCTCCTCTACATTCTTTCCGTGGGGTATTTAAAGCTATTTTTGTAGGTGCCATCCATCTCTACTCTTGAAAATGCTGCTGTAGACTAGCCGTGTACCAGCTGCTCTTTGTATTGGTGTGTTGTTTGTGTTTGGTGTTCCGGCCGAGATAGTTGGTCCGCTCGCGTTCCTTCGCTCCCATCGGCTCAACAGGTTGTTACGCAACGCCTAGGCTTCCCGAGTTCGAGACATTGCTGCCACGTACCCTCGGGACACGTATTGGTAACCGAAGAGGTTGCTGGTCCTAGCCTAATCTGGGCGAAAAAAAAAATCTGTGCCTGCTGTTGCTGGTCGACCGACCAGCAACAGCAGGCACAGATTTTTTTTTTTCAAATTTTTTTTTGGTTCAGTGCTGCTTGCTGCTAGTTTACGTCACTGACTTGCACTGACATGCTGTCTGAGAGCAATCAATCCCGAACACGACGACCAAATGAAATGAGTTGGTTCAAAGCGGCAAGGATTTGTCGGCATTTTGTTTTGCACGGTCACTGCAGGGAGGGCAGGTGTTAAAACCGCCACGCAACAGCAGTATCTCTACAGGGGACGCCTGCATCGGATGCCCAGCGGCAGACGGGGCCCAGCGCAAGCCATCGATACAAAGCCCCCAAGAAGCCTCCGACGCGGCCTTGTTCCAGCATCACCACGCTTGCGGCGGAGCAAATCCAGACAATATCCCAGGCGATGGCCCGGTACCGTTGGCGCCGTTCGGGACAAGCGCCATCAGCATTCGTAGTGGTAGTGCTGCTGCTGGCGTGCACATGCACAAAAGGGGGGGCGGCGGCATGGAGCTGGAGCCCGAGGCGGTGGTTGTTACGCCGTTGGCGTCGGCCGGCGCGGGAGACGTCGGTGCCGAACACGACGCAACGCCGTTGCAGAGTCGTCATAAGGGCTCCGCCCGGAGCGGCGGGGGGTTTGGTTCACCGCGCAGCAGCAGCGGCGGCGGCGGCGGCGGCGGCGGCGGCGACGCAAGGGGCGAGACCGCTTCCGACGGGGCCGCCTCCGTTTCCGGGGTTGACGACAGCCTCTCCAGCGTCGGCGAAGGGCCGGGGGGGTTGAAGCGTAAGGACACCATCACTTGGGAGTCGTTTTTGGCCAACATTACGGTGACGGACGAGGCGAAAGAGGCAGGAGGGGGCGCGAAAGGAGCGGAGGCAGCGGCTGGTGCTTGTTCTGACTCTTCGCCACCGGTGGCGATGCGATTGACCTCCGGAGCAGCAAGCGAAGGAGTAAAGGTGGGGGGTCGGGTTGGGTTTTATTTTTTTTTCTTATTTTTTTTGAAAGTTAGAGACATACACAGAGACATACAAGGCGTCCCTCCGGAGTGGGGTAAAGAGAGCACCGACATACCAGTTTCTAATTGTCAACTGCCGCACGGCCATGCCCTTGTCTCTACAATGTGAAGAGCTTCATCGGGGGTCACGCCGAAGAATTTCTCTTGGATATACTACAAAATACGCTTTCAGTTGTGTCCACCTATGACAGAGTCTACACCCCGTATCCACTTTATTCCCTTTCTCTATGCATATTGACTTGGTAGGGTAGCGAAGCGGGGAACTCGTTCGCACAAACATTTAGGAGTATCATTGTGGGTAATACGGTAGACCACACTAATATCGTTTGTATTCAAAGTTTGAAGCTCTCTTCCTGCGTTCGCTGCATATGCATATAACCGTTGAGCAGGGACTATTTATCACGAAGTCGTCCTCACGCCACCACCCAACTGACAAGTATCGCAATAAGGTGGTAAACGCTCGTCGTGCACAAGTCGAGGGGCTGAGACGCTTTCAGTGGCATGTCGATAGTTAAAAGAAAATGCACGCAACCACTTCTGGTACGTAGCCCTTTTTCATTCCGTTCTGTGCATGTTTGTCGGGGTATGCAACATATATCCGTTGAGTTTTTGCTTTGAAGTCAAGTGGTGGGTGTAACTGCGCAGAGGGCGAACTCTCATGTATTGCATGCCTTAGCGGTTAGACCCTTTCGCGCGTCTTTGAGAGCACGGAGCATTGCTCCCACAGGACGAATCACCAATGCCCAATCGTTACGTGGCCTAAAGGTGGCTCAAAAATGTGTTCCCTAGCCCATCTATGCTATCGATATTGCTTCCCGCCCTTTTTAGCCCACTGCATGCGCCCCATTAAAGCTGCCTACGCAGAGGGGGGCGTTATTTTTACATACTGCACCCCAGCTTGCTGGGATGATACCGAGCCCGACATGCCAACGGGCAGGTCCGAAATAGCGAAGTAGAACGTGTCGTTTTCCACCAGACAATTTTTGGTGACAACCGAGTAGAGGAAGAGGTACGGAAGCAGACAGATTGGAGCCGCTTGTCGGACGCCATTTCGTGCCAAGCCGGTCAGGCACGCGCGTGGCGCGTTATTTTGTTAGATACGTGTGTGTGTGTCTTTCTTTTCAGCATCGTCCGCGCTAAACCGGCTGACCCATGAAAAGACCTCACACGTGTGTGTCTGTGTGTGTGATTATGGATTACCCAAGAGCTCGTGCTACGCTCGAACGGCCCAATAACAATGGTTGAACTCTGGGTAATTTTTTTTTACGTGTCGCCCCCCCTGCTGCTACACGTGATGCCATCATGCGGAGTACATACGCTTTCGCCTCAATGTATTCGGAGGAAGGACTGCTGTGACCAACGCGTATTGATAGTATGTATCTTCGTTTTCCTGGGTCCGCAGACGAAAGTCTGCGCCGCGGCTTGTTTCACAATGACACCACGAGATCTACGAGAGATAACGTGAGATGACATGGGCGTACAGCGGGATGTTTCCATGTTGCTATGCATACGATCCCTTCCAATCGCTTGGGGTCGACATGATTGATTGACATCACGAGAAAGCATCGCACCCTGGGAACGCTTTTTGAAACCCCCCGCAGCCAGGGAGTGCGCGCACACATCTGATCGACGATCCCCATTCTGTGCTTCGTGGTGTTGTCTGATACCAACCAGGGGTTGTTGGGGAGCGCTGCCGAACAGCCTTTGACGGCTCGCACTCGGTACCTCCGAGCGATGGCCTCCAACGCGGGCGATGTTCGTTGGAACGACGACCTCGACGATGAGGACAGGAACGACGATTGCGATGGCGATGGCGACAGCGACGGCGACACGGAGAGCGCGGGGTTGCCGGAGCTTTCCGAAGGCCAGCTGGTGCACCGCGCGAACGTTCAGCGCCTGCTGAGCGACCTCAGCGACAGAACGTTTTCGCCGCGAGCAAGGCACCCCGTCGACCTCGGTAGGTCGCAGTCCATGTCTTCGGTGGGCATGGGATCGATCAACAGCGTGCGGGTGAGTGCCTTGCAGCAAGCGCCAAGAGAGGCATGCGCGCAGTCAGCCAGGTTGATGAGAAGAGCTGTGCCACCTATCTAACTGCGGGCAAATTGATCATGGCTGCAGCAGCAGTGGTTGGTTTCGGTTTGGACGTGAAGGGAAGGGAAGAAAAGCTGAATGGTCCGTTGTTAGTGTTTCCGTTGTTGCTGCCGTCCAGCCGACTGCATAAATGGTGTCTTGTGTACATATGTGCGGTGGACATGAATTGCCGTTGGGAAGTCCGGACACGTTGAATTTCAGCGCAGATATAGATAAGTGACAGCAGAAAGCTCTGCTGTTGTGGTACTTTTACTATTTAAGGCGATTTTGGTGTGTGGGTGTCGTGTTTTACTTGTCCGGTTGCTGGGTTCGCTGTCTCATGACGTCAAAGCGCTGCATCACGGCCATGTTCCATATTATGTGGGTAGCAAGTGGTGATGCGCTGGTTGCTGGCAAATAAACGAAACGTGTCATGGAAGCGCGAAATATTTATCGCGGTTTTCGATGGCCCTTGCTTGCTGTCTGCATCCACCTCTCATCCCCGACTTTCTGTCGCAACCTATCTATCCGTTTCGCAGAAAATCATGGAGAGAGGAGTGAACAAGTTCAACGTCAACCCCAAGGATGGGATTGCGTACTTGATCGACAACGGTCTGGTAACGGACAGCGCGCAGGGCATCTGTAGCTTCTTGTGTTCAGCCGAGGGTCTCAGCAAGCGACGACTCGGGGAGTACTTCGGCAGGGTGAGAATGATATGATAATCATTGTAACAGGCAAGAGACGACCACAGTCACGTGTCGCGATGCGCCCTTCGAGCGGGTTGTTTGGAACTATGATTTTTTTTTCGTCTGCTGAAAGGGCGTTGTGCCGGCGGCCCCCGCTTGGATTGGTGCCTGGTATGTCTTGTTGTTGGTCGTACAGTAGTATGAATACGGCCAAGGAGTGTTGGTCGAGACTGAGTCCTGTTGCTCTAGCTCCCCCGTGAGGCCTGGGACCAGGCACCGGTTAGTGCGCGTCAAGCATCGAAGGCTTGGAGCTACAATATCGTCTGTGCCATGATCTACTGCACACACCGGTATGACACCCGCCTCTTGGGAGTGACATCCTGCGTCACGGCCGCACACTTTTACACTGCGATGCACTTGTCGCAGGTTCCACCGCAGCTCTCACGGGAGAAGCCCTCGTCGAGTATGGATGTATTTCGATTGTTGGAAGACTGAAGCGACGCACGTTGTTCGTGCCTTCGTGGCGTGCAAGCTTTCCCCGTTTGACGAAGACCGTACAACCGTGTGCATGTTTGCCTGTCCTTCTTGTGTGTCTGCGGCGTGTGCCAAGCAGGATAACCCGAAGGCCCAAGAAGTGTTGCGTCTTTTCTTGAAAGAGCTCAAGTTTAAGAACGCTAGCCTGGACGAGGCGCTGCGGGCCATGGTGATGAGGTTCCGTTTGCCAGGGGAGGCGCAGCAGATGGACAGGTTCGTACCTTCAAGATTTTTCCTGAAACAGCGTTAGGGGGTGTCCCGCTGTTGAGTTGACGCTGGCCCCTGCAGAGGAAGCCCTGGTCTAGGACGGACGGTGGTGCTTATTTAGCTTTCTCTTATTGGAATTTTTTTTTAGTTTTCCCCTGATTTTAGGCTCGGTATGCCATGCCTTTTTCAGGACGTCAGCTACTATGGTGGCGGATGTCATGATGGCTTGACAACAGCAGTCCTTCGCTTGAGCTGGTGCAAGTTTAGGTTTGTTTTAAGTGAACTCGCCTGGTGGGGCCAAAGCTACCCGTTGAAGCAGCATGGTTCTTGGAAAGGAACCGAGGTTTTATATGTCCCGTGAGTTCTGCAAGCGACCACATTTTTTGCTGCCAATTGTTGTGTTGGCGCCTGGTTGTATTTGCAGGATAATGGAGAGCTTTGCCGTGAGGTACCACGAGGAGAATCCGTATGTATTTTCCTGCTCTGACACGGCGTGGGTGCTGGCGTTCGGCTTGATGATGCTCAACACCGACATGTACAACAGAAATATCAAGGTTAGTAGAGTCAATGATGCCACGGCGATGGTGGTCATGGGGTGAAAACTGCACTCCGTAAAACACGACGGGTTTGCGTCGCAGGTTTGTGTGTTGGCCCGCGGATTGTAGTAGTACAGTTTTTTATTAATTGGGCTGGCCTGAAACCATGGTGTCGATGACTTTCTCGGGCTGGCGGCAAGGTCACGTTGTATGGCACGACAAGGGTAGAGCGCTACACAGAGTGTCGGGTAAATGTTCGGGCATGTCGCCAGCCGTATCGACACGGCCGGATGATCGTGGCGCTAGCCCATGTACAGTACGAGTGCACATTTCATGACGCGCAGACTACTGTAGAGCAGTAGGAGACTGGCATTATGACAACGCTTCGTGACGATATGTAGGTGTCCTCTTGACATTTATTTTGTCGTCGACACCTCTTCCGTCAGGAGAGCGACAAAATGACCGAGGCAGAGTTCGTTAAGAACCACCGAGGGATTGATCAGGGGAAGGACCCGGCCAAGGAGCTGCTGGAAGGAATGTACAGGCGGATTAAGGTGAGACTTGGCGCGTTGATGGGCAGTGGCGCGATCATGAGGATCGTAATGCTCGCGTCCGCTCTGCCTGTTTTTCTGCTACCAACGCCCTAGCTTGCCGTCAACGCTTCCCTTGCGGCCCCTGCCACCCCCTCTTGCGGAACGAAGCCACCGAGCTATCACCTGGGAGTCATTGACTGATGCCGCACTCTTGTCTCTGAGCGATTTTGGTGCGTCTGTTTCGTCGGCTGATGTTGCGGCTTTGTTTTTGGTTCCATCTTTTCAAGGCGTCGGAGATCCGCATGGCCGAAGGGGATATGTACGAGTCTGAGGTCATCACGTTCGTCGCGCCCAAGAAAAGTGGCTGGCTAAAGAAGAAGAGCACAGGTACAGTATGCATATGATAGGTGTTGATGTTTATGTTGTTGGTTTGTTCATGTCGGGGATGGGGCCGTCGTCAAGGGTTTTGTGTACCGACAAATTGCTTGTCCCCAACAAAAGTTTGCGTCTGTTGAAGTAGCGTGTAATTTCGTCGTAATTTTTCGTCACTTTTCAGTTCTGGGTAGGACTGATGTAGTATTGTGTTGTTTTCAATTTTTATTTTTTGGGGGTTGAGTAGTGAAGACCTTCAGCTGTTTATACATTGTCGGCCAATCCATTGATTTTTGCTTCTTCTTTTTTTTTGCATAGCTTCTGCGCAGCACAGGACTACGACCCGTTATATTTTTCACCGCCTTAACCGAACCGGAACATGGCTCCTTAATTTGCGCGTTTATTGCTCGTGCGTTGTCCCAGGGTACGTCGGCAAGTGGAAGCGGCACTGGTTCGTCCTGAACGATGCTGTCCTGTACTACTTCCTCGCCCCACAGCACCAAGATGAGGCGCCCCGCTGCATCATTCCCCTGGAAGGCATCAACATCAGCCCCATTGGAGCGACTGACCTGTCCATTGGCTTGAGGGTGAGACATGCCGGGTTAACGAGTTGGGCGTCGTGGGCTTGTCGGGCGTCTGTGTTTGCTACGACTCGTGATGCCCCTAACCCCTTTAAGCGCAATGTTGGCACGAACGATCTGTCCGTTTTTGGCAGCTTTTTGTGATAGACAGGCTCATTCCTCGTGGCTTCGCGCACACGAGATGACGAGATGACGCCATAACCAAACGACTATTGGATATATCGCGCACCGCCACCCACACGTTCCGTGAGGTCATGAGCTAGGTTACCCACGTAGTCAGTCACCGCCGCACTCTCTCTCTGACGCTGGGCTTCCACCTAACGGTTCCGGCATTCTCGCAGACCAACCAAGGCTTCGTGAAGAGCGTCAAGATGGCGGACAACGGCACCATGCAGCAGGGCACCCACCGCTCCTTCACGCTCCGCGCAGACACCAACAGCGAGCGAGACATCTGGGTCGACGCGCTGCGCGCAGAGGTGCCCGCCTTCCACATGGAGCTCTCGGCCAGTCGCTCCCTCTCGGCGACGCCGGCGACTTCGTCCGCGCCGACGCCCATTGGAACTCCGTCGGAGTCCGGACGGCGATCGGGCAAGTTCAGCGCCAGCGGCCGGACCCGCCGCCGCGCTACGATCGATTTGGAGGCATCGAGCAAGATGCAACCGCCGGTTATCCGCGGCTGGGCGCGGACGCAGAGCGACCAGCACCAGGTGGGGAGTGTCTCTGTGTGGCTGGCTCTCTGTGTGCCGGCGTTGATGTTGACGGCGTGTACGGCAAACAAAGTCATCCATGACAAGTACAACAAAATGGTGGTGTGTGCACCTTTTCGACGAATGCATGCGCGCCTTGTTGAACGTGTAGGGATCCTTGTGTTGTCTACCTCTGACCGCTTCCACGTTCATTGCTGTGCTCGCCTGTGATGTGATGCCTCCCCCCCCTGACCACGACCAATGAAGCAGAGCGGAGGGCGGCGCTACATCGCCCTGTTTCGCGACATCGGGCCCGACCAGCAGGACAACGTCATCTACTTCTTCGGCGACGCGGCCATGTGCGACAAGATGATCGAGCAGCACTTGCGCACGTCCCACGGGAGCCTGAACCTGTCGGACGTGACCCGGGTGCAGCTGCAGCAGGAGGAAGGCGGCGGGGGCGGGCGGGCGATCGCGCTTCAGACCGGCGCCGGGAAGCACGTGAAGGAGGTGGTCATCGTCCCGGAGGAGCAGCGGGAATTCTTGGCGTGGACGAGAAACATCAAGGTGAGCGGGGGTTCAGGAAGCAGTGAGTGCCACCCGTTGGGGGGTTGGTTTGGCAGCGTGAATCAAGTGTAGGCGCTGCCAATGTCCTCATCTTGGGTGAAGGTGGCGGAGGAGCTCGGTGGACCATTCATTCAAATATGTTGTTTGCTCCCCCGATGATTTTGAGGTCGGCATTACCCAGATTACACCTCGTGGGCAGATGGCAATGTGTACCTTTTTTAGGGTTGCATGTACCGTTTGAATGCTGCGTGTAGGGTATGGCTTTGTCGATAGCACGAGCATATGTATTTTTATGTGAGAGACTCGGCGTTGTAGCTCTGCAGTTGTCTGCGTCGATTGAGCAGATAAACCCCTTGCTTGTAGTCACTCCTTTTTCTCACCTCGCCCCCGCCCCGCCCCCGCCCCCGCCCCCGCCGCCACCAGGAGTGCTGCCCGGGGAGCGCCTACAGCATCGCCGCCGACTGCACGCCGAGCGCCAGCGTCGGCGCCACGGCGTTCCCCTCCGTCAACACGGTGGACTCGAACGGCGACGGCGTGGCGTCATCGGTGTCGGTGTCGGTGAACAGCGCCATCGCTATCGCCGACCACATCGGCCTGCACGACCCCCCGGCGGCGGCGGACGACGTCTTCGTTTCCGTCGGGATCCCCGCTACCTCTACCACTGAGAGCGTGGCGGGGACTGCCGACGGCAAGGGGCAGGGCGAGGGTGCCGCCGAGGGGTCTGAGCTCCACACCCGGTCCGAGAGCAGCGTAACGCAGCCGGTGGACGCCGCCGCCGCCGCCGGGGCGGGCGGCACGGGGGCGGCATGCGAGGTGAACAGGGTAAACACCACGCCTAGCGCGGAGACGGAAGCGTACGGCCGGTTTGAGCACCACGCGGTATCCGCAAGCGCGCCTGAGCCTCAGAGCCCTCCCCGGGTTGGGTCGGCCTCGAGAATCGTGCGAGAAGGCTCGATGCCCGGCACGGACGTCGAGTAAACCAAGCCGGGCAGAGGCCAGGCAAAGGCCTAGACCCGTGCAGCGTTGGCTTGGCCTTGTGCTCGGCGTGCTTTCTCCGTTAGAGGTGTTGTGTGTGTGTTTTTTGTATGGTGAGAGTGTATGAAGAGAAGAGAAAACGATAGGTGAACCCACGCAGTTATACGCGGTCACCGCGACCTCCGCCCACCCACAATCACCCCCCCCCCCCCTCCCCTTCCCCGGGTTCTTGTTGCACGGAAAGATCAAGATTAAAAGAGTTGCAGTTGGCACCGAGGGGAAAGACCTTACTTTTACCTTAACTGAGTTTTCATGTTTTTTTAGGGGATTTTTCTCGACTGCTGCTGTGCTTTTGTCACTTGTTTTCCCCTAGTTTTTAATCACTCCGGGTCCGATATTGTTTGATTTTGTCCACGCACGAAGTGGGAGCTGAAATGCCATTCGGTATTCACTAGCTAGTGTTCACTCCAGCAGTCAACTCGAAACCCAGCCACTGCTTGTGGGGTGTAGTGCGCAGCGGGCATTTGGGGGGAAGGGGGAGCGGGCAGCAGCTGAAAGATTGATACTCTGTTGCAGCTGCTGCCCTTTTTCCGAAGGCAGGTGAGGTACCTGAACTTTACGCAAAGGGGGTAACCGCGTTGAGTCAGGTGCCCCAGTGGCTTTTGTAATGGTTTAACCAAGGATGGCGATCCCAGTGAATCGTTGAATCGGGTACTAGTAGTGTTTGGGTCCCTTGTGGGGATCGTTCGATAGTACCTACCAGTTGATACGAGGGCGCTTTCGAAACGCCAGAGAAAGAGATAATTCCTTGCAGTAAGAGAGAAACCCCTGGCTACCGAGTAAGAGGGTTTCGTTACAAGAAGTCGTGGCGCGTTTGTGCCAACAGAGTGGGTGGCTTGGTTCGGGCAGAGGGCGTACCAGCCGCCAGCGGGAGGGGAGGGGGGGGGTGCGGGGGGGGGTAGTTTTTGCACGTGCTCTGTTGTATTTTGCTGAGTCGCTTGTTGCAAAAGGCGATGTGCAGTGGATTTGTGTGGTAGAAAGGGAAGGGCCCTAACCTAACCTAGCCCCTCCCCCCCCCAACACCTGTCATCTCATGTTTTCTTGTGGTTCTTGTGGTGGTTTGGGTGTCCAGTTAGGCAAACGTGTAAGGTCAGGTCGGACTGTGTTCTCGACGCGGTTGGTTCTGTTTTCAGAAAGGGGAGTTTTGCTTATAGCTTGTTTGGCTGATGCGCGCCTCGTGTTCGGTGGTGAGGTGTTTCCGGTTGTGGCAGCGGAGATTCAAACGTTGCCGCGCGGGC